ACAAATATAAGTATTTTTCTGTGCTTGAGGTCTTAATTCCGAGCATTAAATGTACACATTTAAAAAAATGTTTAATGAAATTAGCTTATCAAAATAAAAAAACGCGTAATGATCTTTGAAAAGATGGAAGCTATGGATTTATGGCATGAAAGTCCGATCTTGCATGGAGTACTACAGTCACCTGTGGAATGGCTCAGCGAAGTATCAACTTGAAGCTCTTGATTCGATTGAACGCAGAGCCAGGAGACTTATTGGCGACGGTAAGCTCGAATCTAAACTTCGTAGTTTACCCCACTGGCGCAAAATCGCCTGTCTGTCGGTGAGTGTGCCCTTGAGCTCCATCGGCTCATCCCGCCCCCTTTTACCATCGGACATCCAGACGTCGTCGGCGGAATATCATCCTTACATGGTCGATATTCCCTTCAGGCGTACTAAGCTCTTTTCATCATCTTTTATTATCCGCACAGCCGAGGATTGGAATTCCTTACCTGCGGCTGTTTCCAAGTACATACAAACTTTAAGATGCGACTGAATAGATCCTGATCATAGATCATGTTTTCTCCAGAGCTAAGTATTGGTCCAGAGCAAGTACACACGCCAGCACATCAAGCTACACATTGACATATCTTGTTCCGTTGCACTGGAGGCGATTTTCGAACAAATATGTGTAGTCTGAAGTACCGTTGTCCGTACATTACATTTTTTTTTAAACTTAAATCTTCCCATAGGCCATCCACAACCTACTGCCCGGTCTCGCTCGTCCCTCAATGGGCAACGTCGTCTTCGCTGTATTTTGAATTACTTTCCTAAAGTACAATTTTTATTGCCCACATACAGTTTTTAATCAAATATACAATGTGATGTGTTTACACGCCATTACAAAAAACTCGAAATCCCGGATAACGCCTAATAAATCAATATCAAATCCGCCAAATATTTTGTTACTTATTATCAACCTAAAATAAAATAGCAATAAACCTGAGACGATGTTTCCAACGGGTGATATTTTAAACAACCGAAGACTTTTGTAATGACGAATGGCTCCCATGAGTCGCGATAAGGGTGATAGAGTTGACCTGCGAAATATATGTGACAATAAATCGAATCGAAACCTTTCCGGCTGAACAGTGAAACGGGGAAAAAACTTTTTGAATATTTCCCGTAGTATTGTGAGAGGCAGATTACTATTAGAGGTTTTAAGTAGGGTGGAGTGCTGCCTCCATTCCACTGTACGTGCAGGCACAGAAGGGGTCGTACTCTGCTAAAAATATATACGGGTAATATACAGGAAACCTTGCAAACTTACGTAACCGAAATACAGCTCCCTTTACTGGCATAACATCTACGCCTACACTTCAGTGTAAATAAAAATTTAATAACATTGCTACCTTTAATTTCGAATGTACTTTGAATAATTGTAACTTTTTCATTGACAAAAAAACGATTTTTCCCTCATCAGAATCTGACTTCTCGGTGACAATGGGACTGGTACGGACTCCTTTGTACATTTTCTATTTCCTTTTCTGGTTGTCATGGTGACGGTGATTTGTTGATTACATGTATTGTGTCAAGTGACAAGTCGACTTTTATTTGCGGAAATTAATTAGTAATTTGTGATAGCCGAAACGAACCCGGAGAAGCATCAGGGAACGCCTCGAGAGTATACCCTTTCAAACAAAACAAGAATTTTCAAAATCGGCGCACAATTGATGGAGAAATTGGTGTATACACGGGAGATGCCTGTAAAATTTGAGGATTTTCTTCGATTGTCATGGTATCCTCTCATGAGATTCTGACTTCGTGACAATGGGACCACCACGAGAGTACATCCAAACAAAAAAGAGTTTTCAAAATCGGTCCACAATTGACGGAGATATCTGAAAACATACATACAGCCGAACGTATAACCTCCTCCTTTTTTTGAAGTCGGTTAAAACATACATTTACAACGTAGTGGTTACATTCTCTTGGGATATGCAAAATGTTGACATAAATTGGAATTTTGACGTTTTACAGAATTTATTTCGACACAGGAAATTGCATGGAAATTTACAGTATAAATGTAATGTGAATATTACATTTATTCTGTAAAACAGCTTTTACTAATTGGTTCATCTCACTTAATTACAATGAAACGGAGAACCTACTGTACCCTTAATATACATATAATATACAATGGCCACTCACTTCAACACATATTTTTTATTTGGTTTTTTTCTTTTTATTTGCGATTTTAATTTTTTTTTCTTTTTTATTGTTACAATTTTAGTGATTAAGTTTCAACATGTTTTAATTTTGTTGATTTGTTAGAGTCAGTTAGTGTTTATGCTAGTTGTGATTGGTAAATTTATTTCTATTACTGTAGAGAAATGGAGGAGCGGATCTTCCTGCCATAGGCACTTACTAGGAAGTCCCAACCTTAATATCACTGGATATTAAGAAGAAAGAAATAAACTTTTTTAATATTTTTTTTCAAACGACACTACATTTTGTTACTTTAACTACTCGTATTTCACACAACTCATCGATTGTGTTTTGAGTACCATTAAAAAAAGAAATCTTAAAATCTTTCAATTTAACATCTCTATTTTTTAACAGCACAGGAATTTGTAAAATTTGTTGTGACATTTTCAATATACATTGAATATGCGACATTACTTCGAAATAGAGAGAATGTCGCAATTTACGAGAAATGGACCGCAGGATCTTTGTGGACCTTTTGTGTAGAACCTACATTGTTCAAATGCCTATTAATACTAGAAAACATTGACTTACCATGGTAGGTCAATGCTAAAAAAGGTATTTGAATCCGTTTTTTTCGTGGTAAGAGACTATGATGATACTTTAAGAAATTTGAACATTATTGCCTTATACCTCTATTATAGTATTAAAGTAGAGAGCTTGTAATAAAAGCCACGGTGAGGAGTAAAAGAGGATTAATCGTCCTTTTGAATGTAATTTCACATTAAAATAAATCGTGGTGAATGGCGAAACTCTTTGTCTGTAGGCGAGTTTTCACTTAAACACGGCGAAGCGCCAGCACCGCCGCCGCTCTCCCATCACTCCTCTTTGTTACCAACAAACTTTCATCGAACTTTCTCAGAGATAAATAATTTAATCTGTAACACCCATTTAAGCGAGCCGGCGCAGTTTGCTTCAGGGCTGTATCGCTATTAAACTGTAGATTCTCGCGAAGCTTTAATGAAAGTAAACCTGTTTATTCCAGCCGCCTGTTAACCGTTTCAGTATGCTCTCCGAGTTACGAAATTTGAATAGATATTTATTTTTTATGTATTTTAGAATTCCCACATTTTAGGGGAATTAATCTAAAAAAAAGTTATAAAAAGGTAAGAGCGGTTACATACGGCGACTTTTAGAAGCGATGCAAACTCGACACAAACGCGATGCAATTGCGATGCAGTCTCTAATCGTCTTCCTTTACACACACGCGCGATTTTAAGCAGCGATGCAAACGCGACGTAAGCGCGCGACTGCATCGATGCAATCGCCTATAAATCCTAAGTGTAGCGATGCAATTGCGCGTTATTATCGACGCAATCGTCTATAAGTCGCAAGTGTAGCGATGCAATCGCGCGCTTTACTTAACCACTCGAAGAATAAGAATGATTTATTGCATTAACGCCGAGACACACAGAAGCTTAAAACTACAATACAGTATACAATATTATAACTTAAAACTACAATATTGGTACAGTAAAATAAATATAAACACAGAAAAGCAATTTGCATACAAATGCACAAGTTAAACGCACAATAAAAATAAAAATAAATGCGTGTCGCGGCGCACGCAAATGGGACTTCCTCAGCTTTTAGCTATGGACAGAAAAGCTAACCTGTAGCCATGGGTTTCGTCAATGTAAAACAATAAATACTTACATAAACTGTGTGTGTAATATTGTCCCTATTTTGAAAATACGACTTTTAAAAACAGATGTCGATTGTTTACATTTCCGATTCTTTTTTGCTAATAACTACAGACAATAATAAAGTACAAATAAAATACAAACAAAATAAAATAAAATAAACTACAAACAAAAATAATAATAAATAAAGTGTCGTGTTTTTCTGATCTCAGCTCCACTCTAGATATCTACGCATCTATTCACTGAGGTATGAGTAGCGCTAGGCTTTCCTCTGTATTCATTAGTCAGAGCTTTCGAACGCAACCTACATTCACCTGCGCCTACAGCCCCAATAGCTCTTCACGGGTCGAATTGCTAATACCTTAATACGGTACATCGACGAGTGACTTAAACCCATTAGGCTATAGAATTCTATCATCTCGACGAAACAGGTCTCAAATGAAAATTGCAACACTTCAACTTGTATAATATGCGTGAGATGACTTTTGAAACAAACATTTCCCACCCGACTGAGGAAATTACTCAGCGACACTGACAGATGACACCAATAACTCCCTGCGGGTCGCAAACACGCTCACTCTATTTTCAAAGGCAATTGTTGACGCGGAAAATTTTGGTTTCAATTACTGCGAATTTATCAATCGTTCTTGAGGCGACAGACGAGTTGAATGAACTTCTTATAAATAACGTGAGAAAAATATCGTTTCACTTATAGTGAAATTATGTTGGCTACTTTATTATTCTGCGTTAGTTATAGGTACGAAAATGTCGCAAATAAATTTAAATTTAAATAGTTCGTAAATATTTTTGGCAATGCAATTACTTCGAGGTTCTCTCTTAACGAGTTTTCAAAGAGTTTCATTACATTACTTTTTTTAGGAATCTTTGCATTTTGACCGACGACGACTTTAGTAAAGTAATTACTATTTATATTGCAAGCTCTTTGAATTACTTTATGCTTTTCGCAAGTAATCCCGACATTCAGAAGGTATAAAACATAATAATGACTTGTATATTTATATTTCAAAATTTACCTGTAGTGACTTTCAGCTCTAAAATTAAATTTGGAACACTGAACAATATTTGTGAAGCTTTCTTTGTAATTTGGTCGGTTAGTACGAGCTGAAGTTGGCGGCGTCGGATAACCTGAAGGAGAACTACACGACGGTTGTGATCCACGTGAAGGACGTGAACGATAACCCGCCCGTGTTTGAGCGCCCTACCTACCGCACCCAGATCACCGAGGAAGATGACCGCAATTTGCCAAAACGCGTCTTACAGGTCCACTTCATCAGTATAAATATAAAAACCTCATTCGACTCTTTATTGAACCTCAACTTCGAGTACTCCAAAAAAGAATCGTCTGCGGTTATAAAGTCGTAGTAGTCCTTGTTCGATTTTGCATGGCATGGACTTTTCGTTTGTGGTGCAGTAGATTTTTATTTCGCTACAGTCATGTTTTGTTTTGTTGCTACTGTTCGTTTTGTCGTTGTTTTTTTTTTATTCTATTGTAGAATTTGCATTCAAATTTTCTATAGCAGCAGCCTCGCAAGACAATAGCCGACTCTCCAAGGATTCAATATTTGAAATGATTCTTTTACAGGCTTCTACTGTTTCAGAGAAATATTATTATAAAGAAACATAATTTAGTGTACTTAATACTCAAAATAGTACGTTAGTCTCAATTCTTATTTATTTTTTATTTATTAAAACACTCTATTGTAAATTAAATTACAAATATTCAGAAACATTTTAAAATATTTGTGTAGAAAGGCGAGCTTACCCAAAAAGAGATTTCTTCCAAATAACCTTTGAAAATCTGAAAGGAAAGTTGGTTTTTGAGGTGGCACTAAAAATAGATAAATAAAGAAATTGAATATATTGTACTCAGTAAATACACTGATAAATTTATTATATCAAATGTATGTACAAATACATATATGTTGCGTAATGTTGATACACTAATACATACAAAATCTATAGTAAAATGAATGCCTAAAATAAAACTGTAAATCAATATATCAAATGTAAATTAACGTGGAGTTTGAACAATCCCAAAGCTTCAAAAGAGCACCCTTGAAAACCCGGACCGAAGGCGACTGTCTGACCTCGACCGGGAGAAGGTTCCACATACGGGCAGCGTTTACTGTACATCTTACTTTTACTATGAACAAATTTATAATTTAAATGAGCAGTCAAACGTAAATCGAATTGTGATTCTTACGGATTTGTTCTACACAAATCGCTTACCAAAACCTTTTTAATTTTTTCTTCACAACGGGCTAAGTTCAATAATGCTCTTGAAACATTTCAAAGCGGCCATCGCGATCGGAGTTTTTTTTAATGCATTTTAAAGTCAAACTCGAGTTTTCCCATTTTTGTAACGATAATGACTAGAAGTTTAGCGGAATGGCTGCGAGTTCGCGAGCACGTACACGAACTGTACTTTTCAATTATTACATCAAACCCCGAAAAGTTCTTGTCGGAGTACACGTTAACTCCTGTTTTGCGATTCATCTACGTTGGGTTTGGAGAAACATTTTTTTAACTTTTAAACAAAAATAAAATGTAAGTATCATAATTATCATCATCAACCCATTTACACGTCCCACTTCTGGGCATGGGTCTCGTATCAGGCGAGGATTTAGTCCATAGCTCGGCACGCTGCGCCAATGCGGGTTGGAGATTTCACACGTTTAATCACGATGCTTTTCTTCACCGGAAAGCTCATGGTAAATTTCGAATTAATTTTTCACACATAAATGCGAAAAAACCCACGAGGTGAGCCCGGACTCGATCCCTCTGTTTGAGAGACGGTTGGTTAAACCATTAGGCTACGACGGCTTTTTTTTGTAAAATGCATCGAATAACAAAAATTTCGCAGTAAAACAACAGCGAGTATCGAATTGATTTATTACTCATCGTTTCCTTTACCGTGAAAATGCGTTTCGAGTTTCATTTCAGAGAAATAATTAGTATAGCATTTATACGAATGAATACTATTTGAAATAAGATAAATTAAAAACAGATATTGAAAATATACACTGTATTAATAATTATAATATATACACACTTTTATGTCGTATATTAATTACGAATACTCATTACCGTACCTGTACAATAAAATAATTTTTATTAACATTAAATTAATAGTAGGTACATTTAATTTCCGAAAATATCGAAATACATATTTATTTGGACAATTAAGCCCATGTTTAGATCAAGAACGCACTGATTCTTTTTGAGTTAGTTAACAAGTGCGCATGAGCATGGTGTGTAAATTATGCGTGTGCGCAGTACGACCTGGTGCTGGTGGCTTCGGATGGACGCAACGAGAACTCGACGCGGGTCGTCGTGCACGTCTTGGACGTCAATGATCGACCCCCAACCTTCTCTCGCAGTGCTTACGTCACACAAGCATTGGAAGAAACTGGCCCTTATCCTCACCCTTTAATACAGGTTTTTTATTATTTTTTTTATTCGGTGATGGAGCAAATGATTCATTGGGAACAATACAGTTTACTAACCCTTAAAATAATTACGTCAGAGAATTTTGTTTCAAAGAGGCTTGCGTCTGCCATGCGTCAAGTAAGTTAACAGAATCATATTTTAATTAAACTAACGGCTAACTTTTACGTTAAAGTTTTGCAAATTTCTAAGCTACTCTTAAACAGTACAGATGATCCCTACATAGTTAAACGTATTATTAAAATTTGTTAAGGTATCCTTTTACTCCATTTACAAAAAATTAAAAAAAAATTAATAAAAAAAAATTTTAAAGATAAATTACAATTGAATTGTTTCTCATTATTTAGTTTACTTAATTAACAAACGATTTACAAAAGACCTGCTCCTAAGTACACAACAAAGTCGTACTTTTACGTATTATTTGTTCCCTTTAATTGTTTTGGAACCAAATATTTATTTTTAATTTTAATTTTATGTCCTTACTCCTATCCAGCATTTTAATTAGTCATTTTATTAATGTAAACTTTTGAACTTTTGTGAAATTCAAAAGTACATTTAGTAAAGCGAGCTTTGCCTTTCCGGCTCAATATTGCCGCTTAAATTTTTTTTGACATGTAAATAGTAGAAACAATGGATTAAACATCAACACTAAAAGTTTGACCATTGTAAAAATAGTGATTTATACTACCCTCCTTTACATAACTAACACGAGAAGAGATATTGGCACCTAAAGTTATATTGTCGTATAAAAAATGTCGACTACGCTGATTTTACTTAACAATAAAACCGAAACTTAATAAGGTATTAAAAAACCGATTGATTGGTATGTTAATAACTCAACTTCGCTAAAAATGTGATTACGTTAGTCAATAAGGAGGGCAGTATACGTCATTATCAGAGGTCGGAATAATTAAGGTGTATTTACCTAAACTTCAAATAACATTCATAGAGTGAACAACACCTCCCTCTTAAAATTTCAATCATATAAATATATACTACCTGAAAAAAAGTTGCTGTTGTCAATTACAAAAGCTTGTGTTCTAAATACGGAATAAATTGATGACCAGCCTGTCGTAGCAAAGTGATTGCTAATTGTGTACAACAACAATATGAAACATTTAAAAAAAAACTTTTCAGACGGAGGTATTATTTACGCTATGTGCTTCCTTTCTTAAAGTATAGGTAAATTACTGAGCTGACAAGACAATACTGATGTCAGCGGTCAGGCTTTTATTTTACGCGTCTATCCTGCTGTACTTATTTTAATTTATTATAATACATTTTAAGATATTTTGTATTACAGGTAAGTTAGATATAACTAATTATAAGAATAATGATGCTACGGAACAAAATGACATTATTGTCCAACATTCTATAGCATATGTATGTATTGCGTCTGTGTTATGAGTTTGACTTGCACGTTAGGCGTTTACTTTAGCTTCCTAGAGCTTATTGCATGTTTAATATAAGTCAGATTACCTCACTAGCTCGAATTTGGAACCGTATAGTGAATCTAGGGACACAAACCAATAATGTGATTGGAGTTTGGGCTGTGTTGCTAGCTGAATATTGGGATAGACCTAAATTAACATTTAACTTTTACAAAATTAAACTAAGAAGCTTGGACTTTGTTTTAAGGTCATTTTAAAAGCTACAGAATTGAAAGAAAAGCTACATATTCATGCCGAGTACGAAATAAAAGCTGGTTTCTTACACGTTCTGCGGTATTTTACTATTATAAATTAAAATATATATATAAATTAAAAAAATGTACTCAAATTTTGGGGAAATGGTAATTTAATTCTATTTCTTTCTGAAAGTAGGTAAATTTAAATTTGAAACCTTAGTTTTATAACGGTATTGGTTTCTTAGACTTATTAATTTTAAAGTTTTATATCTCCATCTTTATGAAACCCCATCTAAAGTATAATAACATTTCGTTTATCATCATTATCGATTAAATAAATAAAATAATAAGATATACATTGTATTCCATTCTTGACTAACATTTTACCGGCGGCGTCGGAGAATCTCTCGTACATTTCCCTAAGCTACATTATTAAAAGGTATCGCATTATTCGAGTACAAGTTCATCCCTAATGAGAGCTCTTGGTATAAATTGTAGTCATCGTGGTAGAATCTACTATAAATCTCACTGCAATGATATTTTCTCCTCTAAGGAGGTTTTATTTATCGAGTTCTAGTTTTTTATTATCTAATTATCTAACATAAGGTTTGTTTTATCGAAATTGGTAATGAAACTCCTTTTTCGGAACACAATCGAGTATATTTATTTTTTCCGAACAAATCGTTTGAAACAAACAAATATACGTGATTTGGATAGGGAAAAAAATAGTATCATGTCCAATAAGGTATTTTTATTTGTTGTAGAGGTATATAGGTAATTACATAATAACACAACATACAATTTGTAGGTATAGTCGAAGTCAAAAGCGAGCTTGAAATTCAGTAACCGCAAAACATTTAAAAATCTGCTTCACGTCAGTCTGTGGTGTCATTCATCATAATCCGACAATGTTTAAATGAAGAGCTTTTAAGCAGCGTAAGGATACTTTACAAACTTTTCTATACGCGTGATGTATTATAGTCCGATGACAACCTTTTCAGTTTCAATTTCCATTTCATGTAAAAAAAATCTTTTGGATTGTTGAGAAAAATTTACAGTAACTTACTTTACAGCCGATTTCGGGCAATAAAGGACTAATAATTAAATTAGAATCTGCCGTGGGCATGTAATATCAAAATTGATATGCGGCCACCTTCCATTATAACCATCTGCTAGGCTGCTGCAATAAAAAGGTCCGTAAATTGGCTTGAACTCGACATTTAGTTCAATCATGAAAAATGAGAGTAAAGCCCTTGTCCCAAGTCGCTTGTAGTGATAAGCTTTTTTATAATTGGAGTGAGATTCGCAAATGATCCGCGTAATTACGCAAACGTCTGACCCTCTTCATCTCTCCTGCTCCGAACATTGTGCCGTAATAATTGGACTCTATACTCTTAATAGCAATTATCATTCTTCGTCGCCCTCATTTTGCAAATAAAAATATGATTATATATACTTTTATCTGTTACTTCTCTTTAGGTAATGTTTGACAGAATAAAACACGCAAAAGGAATTTTTATAGGGCTTTTCAATTTATTATATTTTTAGTGCAATTGTTCGCAGTTCATTTTTGAGACTTTCTGCATATTCTTTATATTGGCGGCCTCGGAAGTTTGGCTTACTTTCGGAGCGCCACAGACGTCTTCCGTCTGTATACCTAACGGTGCAAGCAACCCGCAATGTTGGCGGGATCATAACTTCCAAACTTCCACTGCATCTTCTACGCTTCTAACATACCCAATTTAAACTAACGCTGTTCTGAAAAACGGTTCGTAACAAGTTGCTATCGATAATTTCGTTAATTCTAATATGTATCTCCAGAGATCGTTAGTATTAAATAATATTTAATTCGATAAACGAAAACACATCGGATCTAAAATGGCATATGACCAACTAAACTTCATAGTTCTGATATTGGCTGTTGTGTCCGCCGTGATCAATGAATCTAAAAACAAATATACGTGATGTTAAATCCGAAAAAATAATTTCATTTCAAGTGTGTTATAATTGCAAAAACCTAATAACTCGATATACTTTCGTACAATTAGGTGTAAGTGTGATTATGTATGCATACCTATGTGAACGTAACATACAATTTACCATCATTTCACCACATTCCTTGAAATCATAAAATAATATGCAAAAGTATAATTACTTATGGGTTATTACCCATAATGCCAAAAGTTTTATAGGTAATATTATAATAATTCAACAAACCGTTATGGATAATTATTTTGATTGTAACTTCGATATGTATTACAGTATTCGATATATACAGACAAAGTAATATTTTGTGAAATCTAAATGAAATAGATTTGATACTATACCTTTCTACAAAATGAAACTTAAGCATGTTTGAATTATGAATAAAACATTAACAAAGTTGTTTTCTGTCTACATGTCGTAAACACAGAGTGCTTGTGTTTTAGAGGAATTAGTTAAAACGTTTGCCTATTCTTGAGAAGGGCCTAAGCATATAACTACGTGAAGCTTTCCTAACTTTCCTAACTTGTGTATGATTCAATGATAGAAACACAAACAAAGTCCAAGTTTATAACACAATGTATCTATTAAGGGATATAGACGTTTTCCCATTAACAGTGTAGATATTTTGGCTTAACTGTTTTATAAGTACATAATTAGATAGTGCTGATGAGAATAACTATCTTATATATCTTTCAAGGTTTATTAGGTAAATTTGAACTAGATACTTACGTAATAAATGATTATCACTAATTAAGTTTTTTTACCATGGTATGAGTTCTTTTCGTTTTCCTGATATTTATCGGTTACACGCTCCATGGATTTGCTGTTCAGTGTATTCAGTTCGGATTGACTGTTCAGTGTATTCAGTCAACCCGTGACCACAGAGCGTGTACCCGTTCCGATTTTCCCGGAAAACAAAAAGAACTCATACCGTGGTAAGAAACCAGTAATTAGTGTTAATCATTTACCTAAAGCTATTACACATAAAATTGTGAAAGTAATAAATAATTTCTATGATACAGGTCACCGCCACTGACGGTGACAAAGACAGACAACAAAACATCGTATATTTCCTAACCGGGCAAGGCATTGACCCTGACAACCCTGCGAACAGCAAGTTCGATATCAATCGCACAACCGGAGAAATCTTTGTGCTCAAAGTAAGTACTACCTATTTCACTAATTTCAACATTCCGTTAACACAAAAGCGTAGACTGCAGAGCAGAGATAGCAACAGAGAAGTATGTGCTCTGCATGCAGAATGCAATCACACATTTTTTGCATTCCATTTGTGTTATATCCTGAACATATTTCTGCAACCAGAAAACCAACACTTTTTTTTTTATTATTATACCAAGTGACGGGACGAACAAGTCTTGCACCTGGTGTTAAGGGACACGCCTGTTCATAGCAGTTGTAGAGCTTTAAGTCGCAAAGATCTGAGGGACACTTGCGCCATTGCGCCCGTCACCTTATGTCATAAGTTAACAAGTCTCATGTGCCTGTAATTTTGCCTTCAAAACCGGAATACAATAATGTGAGCGTTACCGCTTTCGGACAGAAAGGGGTAAAGTGGCAATATTTCCCTGGATGAATTTTTTCACTAAAAGCTACTACAACTAAACTAGTCCACTGAACTGTTAAAGAGACCTGACTAACAAACACTTTTTGTTTTCAATATTTATAGCTGTTAAGGAAACCTGAAAAGAAAATTGCGTAATTTTTATTACAATTGTTTTTTCACAGCCTCTGGATCGTGATCAACCTAATGGACGACCACAATGGAGGTTCACAGTGTTTGCTCAAGATGAGGGTGGTGAAGGCCTCGTGGGATATGCCGACGTCCAAGTCAACCTTAAAGACATTAACGATAATGCGCCTATTTTCCCTCAAGGAGTTTATTTTGGAAATGTAACCGAAAACGGCACGGCTGGCATGGTCGTTATGACAATGACTGCGATTGATTATGACGATCCGGCTGAAAGCAATAACGCAAAGCTTTGGTATTCAATAGAAAAGAATGTGATAGAAGAAGAAACTGGATCTCCTATTTTCGAGATCGAACCTGAAACTGGTGTAATAAAAACTGCAGTTTGCTGTTTGGATCGTGAAAGGACACCTGATTACTCTATACAAATCGTAGCATCCGATGGAGGGGGTTTAAAAGGAACAGGTACCGCATCAATAAGAGTCAAAGATATTAACGATATGCCCCCGCAGTTCACAAAGGATGAATGGTTTACCGAAGTCGATGAAACTGATGGCACTAATCTTCCTGAAATGCCCATTCTTACTGTCACCGTACATGATGAAGATGAAACTAATAAATTCCAATACAAAGTTATTGAAAATAGTGGATATGGTGCTGATAAATTTACTATGGTTAGAAATAACGACGGTACAGGATCATTGAAAATTGTACAGCCGTTAGATTATGAAGACCAATTACAAAGTAATGGCTTCAGATTTAGGATACAAGTTAATGATAAAGGAGAAGATAATGACAACGATAAATATCACGTAGCTTATTCGTGGGTAGTAGTTAAACTTAGAGATATTAATGACAATAAACCGCAGTTTGAAAGGGCTAATATAGAAGTGTCAGTTTATGAAAACGCCGAAGTCGGCAAGAGCTTAGAAACGTTCAAAGCAACTGATCCGGATCAAGGTGGTAAAAGTAAAGTATCGTACGCTATTGATAGGTCGTCGGACAGAAAGCGACAATTCTCAATTAACCAAGAAGGGACAGTCAGCATACAGAGATCTTTAGACAGGGAGGATACGCCACGTCACCAAGTCAAAATTTTGGCCATTGACGATGGAGTTCCACCAAGAACTGCTACTGCTACTCTTACTGTTATAGTCCAAGACATAAATGACAATGCTCCTACATTCTTGAAAGACTATAGACCGGTTCTTACTGAGCATATTACACCTAAGAAAGTAGCTGAAATTTTAGCAACGGACGATGATGATAGATCCAAGAGCAATGGACCACCATTCCAGTTTAGACTTGACCCTGGAGCGGATGACATTATAAGGGCATCCTTCAAAGTAGAACAAGACCAGAAGGGTGCGAACGGTGATGGCATGGCTATTGTTTCTTCTTTGCGGTCATTTGACAGGGAACAACAGAAGGAGTATCTCATTCCAATCATAATCAAAGACCACGGAAATCCAGCGATGACAGGAACAAGTACGCTGACGGTAGTCATTGGTGACGTAAATGACAATAAAATGCAGCCCGGATCAAAAGATATTCTCGTATACAACTATCAAGGGCAAGCACCTGATACTGAAATTGGACGAGTATATGTTTACGACCTTGATGACTGGGATTTACCAGATAAAAAATTCTTTTGGGAAAGTACAGAACATCCAAATTTCACACTGAACGAAGAGACAGGTATGATACAAATGAAGCATAAAACAAAAGAAGGTAAATATCACCTAAAATTCAAAGTATACGATCGAAAACATACACAAACAGACGTACCTGCAAATGTTACAGTGTATGTTAAAGAAATATCACACGAAGCTATAATAAACTCCGGGTCGATACGGATATCAGGTATATCAGATGAAGACTTTATTAGAGTCTGGAACTATAAAGCTCTTGCCGTTTCTCGAAGTAAATTAGACATTTTCAAAGACAAGTTAGCTGACCTGTTAAACACGGAACGAGAAAATATTGATGTGTTCAGTGTACAACTGAGAAAGAAACACCCACCTGTGACTGATGTCCGGTTTTCAGCACACGGTGCTCATTATTACAAGCCAATCAGATTAAATGGTATCGTATTGATGCACAGGGAAGAAATTGAGAGAGCGGTCGGAATCAACATTACAATGGTTGGTATAGACGAATGCATTTATGAGAACCAAATGTGTGAGGGCTCTTGCACAAATGTTTTAGATATCAGCAATCTTCCGTATATGGTTAATGCAAATAAAACTGCATTAGTTGGTGTTCGAGTAGATGTGATTGCAGAATGCACTTGTGGAGCCAGAAACTTTACTCAGGCAGAAACTTGCCGCAACTCGCCGTGCTATAATGGAGGCAGGTGCATTGAAGGGAAATATGGTTTAACATGCTCCTGTCCACCTGGTTACACCGGACCAAGATGTCAACAAACTACAAGAAGTTTTAGAGGAACAGGTTGGGCTTGGTATCCGGCCCTGGAAATGTGCGATAGTTCACATTTAAGCTTTGAATTTGTTACTAGAAAATCCGAAGGTGTACTGTTATACAACGGGCCCATTGTACCACCGGAGCCTGAAGAAATAATGGTATCCGACTTCGTCTCTGTAGAGCTGGAAAGAGGACATCCCAGGCTTTTGATTGACTTTGGGTCGGGTACCTTAGAACTGAGAGTCAAAACTAAGAAGACTTTAGATGACGGTGAATGGCATCGTATCGATATATTCTGGGACACTGAAAACGTACGAATGGTTGTAGATTTCTGTAAGTCTGCTGATATTCAAGAAATGGAAGATGGTACTCCTCCAGAATTTGACGATTCGACCTGTCAAGCCACAGGAACCATACCACCGTTCAATGAATACCTGAATGTTAACTCACCCCTACAGATTGGTGGTTTGTACATAGAACACTTTGACCCTACACATTATCATTGGCAGTACATGCCAATTGGCAAAGGATTTGACGGATGTATACGAAATCTGATTCATAACAGCAAACTATACGATTTGGCACATCCAGGCATGTTTAGGAATTCTGTTGCGGGATGTCCACAAACTGAAGAAATATGCAATCAAGCAGACACTACTTCACGATGCTGGGAACATGGAACGTGCGTTGGAAGCTTTTCTGAAGCTCGTTGCCAATGTCACCCTGGCTGGACTGGACCATCCTGCAATTTACCTACAACTCCGACGAGCTTTAGGCCTCAAAGCTATGTTAAATTCGCTCTTAGTTTCGAACCTGACAGATTTAGTACACAAATTCAACTGCGATTCCGAACACGTGAACCCCATGGGGAACTTTTCAGAGTCAGTGACCAACATAACCGTGAATATGGCATACTCGAAGTGAAAGACGCACGTTTACATTTCCGATACAATCTAAATTCATTGCGCACTGAAGAACGTGATGTATGGTTAAATGCTGTAGCTGTCGATGATGGTCAATGGCATATAGCTCGTGTCAGTCGGTATGGAAGCTCCGCTACATTAGAAATTGATGGTGGTGAGGGAAGGCGATATAACGAAACCTTTAAGTTCGAAGGTCATCAATGGCTACTGGTTGATAAGCAGGAAGGAGTTTACGCTGGCGGTAAAGCGGAATATACCGGTGTGCGAACCTTTGAAGTATATGCTGATTTCCAAAAAGGTTGCTTGGACGATATCAGGTTGGAAGGCAAGCACCTGCCGCTGCCTCCAGCTATGAACGGCACTCAATGGGGTCAGGCTACAATGGCTAGAAACCTGGATCGCAACTGCCCTTCTAACAGTCCTTGCATCAACGTCCACTGCACTGAACCCTTCGTTTGCGTCGACCTGTGGAACGAATATGAATGCACGTGAGTATCTATTATTTAACGTCACTTTCCGTTTAAAAAACAAGAATACAAAGTTAAAAACTAGTCACTGTTACATGTTTTGCAAACATTCTTAAGTGACAATAGTAATTTTATTTTGAACGACGAAAAATTATTTTTCAATTTGATATTATTATGAGGGCGCACTGAGTTTTCAATTCTTTTAATTTCAAATCATATTTACTCTGTATTTATTTAATGAATTATGTTTTATAATGATTACATACTAATCTTTGTATATTTATTCATTTAAAAACTACTAATGCTTTTATATGACAAATTTGGTTTTTATTTTAACTACTTCCTAATTAACTGCACATTGAACAATCTATATCTAATTGTGGACACTAACTACATTGGCTAATAATATTAAAAAAACCTAACACCCGTGTCAGTTTTAAATACTGTGTTTGTAATACTATTAACAGCTTTTATATCGTGTATTTACTAATATACTAATTGGACTGGTGTCTAGTTGCGGCGAGGGTTTAGTATTGTCACCGGACGGCAAAGGTTGCGTAGACAAGAATGAGTGTCTCTACTTCCCATGCCGCAACGGTGGCTCATGCGTGAATCGTGAGCTTGGGTACCGCTGCCACTGCCCTGAAGGCTATTGGGGGGAGAACTGCGAGCTGGTGCAAGAAGGGCGCACGCTCAAGCTCAGCATGGGGGCGCTCGCTGCTATCCTCGTCTGCCTCCTCATTATAATGAGTGAGCAAGTCTAACTATACTCACACTAGCCGTATCTCACGCACACTCATCCTTTCTAGTACCTTCATATTCATTCATCCATTATATCTGTGTATTGTAGTCGTATGTAGCGTTTATGTTAGTGCATGCTTCGGGGGCTCAGTGCGCGTTTACAAAAACGGTGAGGTAAAGGGTGAAGCGCACTGTTTAGGTGTCCAGAAGGATCGACGCGTTCATCTGGCACTTGCGTGAACATCAACGAGTGTTTGGAGAATCCCTGCCAGAACGGAGGCACCTGTATCGATAGAGATCGAGTGAGAAGATACGATTGTATTTGCGCCATTGGTTACACTGGACATGACTGCGAGCTGGAGCTATTAGCTTCGGGCATCATCACGCCCTCAAGGGATTTCATTATAGCTATCATTGTCTGTTTGTTTATGCTTCTAGGTGAGCACCATTGTTTTTATTTGCATGCCATTTCTCATAAACCGGTAGTGTGAACAGATTGTTACATGAAGGTAAAAGAAAGCATAATATTTCTTCATTTTCCATACAATCGATTGTTAAAGAAAATTTTAAATACTTTCATGTAACAATTTCATTATTATTTGTTTTAATCATTTAGACTCAAATATTTGTATATCTTGTCGTGTACTTACATTTAAAACACTTTTTTTTAAATATTTGACGACCTCTGTGGGCGAATGGCTTGCACACCGGTTTTCATGGTGTCGCCATCGCTGAGGTCCCGGGTTCGATCCCCGGCCGGGTCAATGAAGAAACTAACTTTTCTATATTGTTTGTCTGAATGTTTGGGATCAGAGCAACTTACAGTGCTTCTATTTTCTCAATGTCTCTCGGCAATCATCGGATTTCCGAATGCACAGGGATCGTAATTTCTGTGCCCATTAATTATTAGATTTAAAATCTATAATAATATGAATTTTGAACAACGTACTTATTGTTATTTTGTTTGATTTCCGTGTGAACTATATAGAGCTATAAAACTAATTCCCCATTTTTAATAACATTAACTCCATTTCAATAAGCAAGTTAACAAAAATTATAAAGTAAATAAAGTGTGCTTCTTTTATGTAACTACAAATGAATATTTTCCGGTTATTAATCATTTCAATTCAATCCGTATCTGAACGCATTTCTTCATCTGACATAGCTATGTTAGTATATTCGCCATAGATAGAATAAATAAATTAAATAAATTATCTATCGTGTCTGAGAGTTTAGCAACTTTCCTCCCATTGTATAATAAATAAAAAATGTAATAGCAACTCTATATACTTCCAAATCAACTGAAAGTATCAGGTCTATACTAAAGGTAAAGAGTAACTGAACAAAACTCGACGACAACCGAAACACGAAGTTTGCCGAAGGACATCGAGATAATAGAAGCACTGTATGTGATATTTATTTATTTATTTATCTTTAAAACAATATTTGTCAAATACTTGTTATGGGATTTTAGGAAACTTGTTGTTGTTACTACACATACGTTGATATCAAAGTTATTTTAATTGTTGATATAGAAATATCTATTAGCTATACGTTACTGTTACTTATGTAGCTGAAATACATAATGGGCTGGCTGACAGTTTATTCAGCGCTAGAAATTTCACGCATAATGTAACGTAAAATAGTCATTCATTCTCAAAACAATGTATTTAAACCTAGCTAAATGCAAATATTCGATAGACACAATGATCGAACAAACGAAAACAATAGAAGCAGATCAACACATAACGTATTATTACTAAACCAACGTTCCAAACCCCCTCGGTCGCTTATAGATATTTAATATAGCGGAAATTGAAATTTACTGAAAACAGACCCCTCCCTAGCTCTATTATTACCAATTTCCTTGTCATAAATCATCGAAATAAAGGTCAAAGTAATTAATTGTAATTGCAAAGATACCTTGAACCAAAAAGGTTGTCAATTGAAATTGTCAAATATCTTCTTTGACGGTAACGGAAACAATTGAAAATAGATTTAATATATATTCTTGAACAGCAATGCGGTAAAAGAAAGAACTTGTATACTTGTATATTAGGTAGTTTGTACCAAGTGAATCGTACTATATCTTACACATGCAATACCGCTTTGAAAGCCATGATGATATGTTAACAATGTAATACATATTTAAGGTAAAGCGGACAGTATCGGTGCCACGGTCTCACCAATACCGTTTCGGAACCAGCAAACCTCTATTTTGTATCCCAATGAATGGTAGATGAATTCTATACTATAAAATTCTATGCGTGACCGTAAAACCCAATACATTGGGTAAAGTTTATGAGACAGAGGTTCGGAAGATAAAAAATATTTTAGGTCGGCGTTGACGTAGAGAATTTTCAGATTCTTTAATATATTCGTTATTTCCTAAAATACAAGCCTTAAGTCTTATATTATTAAGTTGACTTTACAAGCATTCGTTTAAATGAAAGGCTTTGCCACGAGTTTCGAATTCATAAGATATTATGTTAATAATTTCATTGTTAGACCCACAATATCAAAATTCTTAGTAAGGCCTTTGATATGTACTGTGGTCGGAATTTTACAAATATTTAGGCAGAAATTTACCTCAAGTAAACAAAAGCCTCTTTATAATATTCTTAATACTCAGAAACCAACATCTTTAGGCTCATGTGAGATGTTTTAGTGTTGTGATTAATTTTTGGAATGTAAATTGCACAAATCTTTTAACTCTAATATATGTATTTCTGTTGCACAGTCTTGGTACTAGTGTTTGTGGTATACAATCGCCGCCGCGAAGCTCACATCAAATACCCCGGCCCCGATGACGACGTACGAGAGAACATCATCAACTATGACGACGAGGGTGGCGGTGAAGACGACATGACCGCCTTCGATATCACGCCTCTACAGATCCCGATTGGCGCACCTTTGCCTGATCATGCCCCTACTAAAATTCCTTGTAAGTTCACGATTAGTTTATATATATAAAGTTAAGTGTATGTAAAGTAATCTAACTGGGTGATGAAAACCTTTCATAGATTTCTCATAGATGGCGCTACGACTAAAAAGTCGTTGAAAAACCAAATACAAAGATCCAACAAACGAGCACTTAGAAAAATTCGTGAGGTCCGCTGGTTCGTTTCATGGCTTAGTTGACATAGCTTCTGTCACGATTTGCTAGAAGACGTCGGTTCGAATCCGACCGGATCGAAGGATTTTTTTCTAAGTGTTCCTTGTATTAATAATTATAATAAAGTTAAATGAAACCTCCAAATATTAAAAATCTTTAGACGCCATTTTCTCAAAACTATGATCATGTTGATTGACACGTTATTGCTTATCGCCATTGAAAAAATGTCCTAGTGGTGAGCTAAGGGACCCTTGGCTGTTTATGTGACCTGGAGTGCCAAAGTTCCGAAACATTAGTAAATAATTTGAACACTAAGCAAGCATTTGCGCACTGCATCCGATTAGTATTCGTTCCGAATCCCGAGACTACATATCGGAACTGTAACGTGACAGATACAGTAACGAGGTTATAGTGTGTCCGACGATAACCAGGTACTCATTCTAGCGAGTGAAACAGTCTTCCCTCACTAGAATGAGTGTCTGGTTATGGTGTACGTGCACACTATGATTTTTGCTAACATAACATGGATGTAGTGTGGTGTATAAAAAAAAGGAGTATCAAACAACGTTAAGCTTGTTTTTGAAATAACATATATTTCGTTTAAAATATCGACCTCTATCGCCTCTAACTTGAGACTGGTGTAGTTCCCAGGTCGTGGAAGCTTGCAAACGTGCAACCTGTGCCCAAAAAGGGAAGCAGAGCTGACCCTGTCAACTATAGACCTTTCTCAGTCACTTCCATACTCTGCAAGACTATGGAACGTGTACTCAACAACCGTCTCCTGTCATACCTTGAAGACAATGACCTATTCAGTGATCGCCAGTATGGATTCCGACGAGTGCGATCTACCGGGGATTTTCTTGTGTATGCCTGTCACATATGGCGCGAGGCTATAGAAAAGCAAGGCGAAGCACTTGCATTGTCTATGGACATTTCTGAAGCCTTTAACAGGATCTGCCACGCAAGCCTTTTAAGCAAGCTTCCATGTTATGGGTTTCCCACTGACCTTTGCAATTGGATCTCGGATTTCTTGAGTGAACGTTTCATTCGAGTGGTCTTAGAAGGCTAATCTTCCGAACATATGGCGATAGATGTTCCGGAGTTCCTCAGGGTTCCGTACTGTCTGCAACTCTCTTTCTGCTGCATATCAATGCTATGTTAATTCTAGGTACCTTTGCGTATGCTGATGACAGCACAGTTGTAGATAGGTACTTGACCAATGCAAAGGTCAGTGGAGAGGAAATCCAGTCTTGTCGAGATATAGACCCTCGACAAGACTGGATTTCCTCCTCACTTAACTACATATAGGGTTAGCCGTTTAGATTTGACGCTCAAGGCAGTCTCCGTTTGGAGCAAAGCCAATCTTGTCAAATTTAACGCTACCAAAATGTAGGCGTGTCTATTTTCCACTAAACGGAGTCCCTTTGCTGACTCCGACTTTTTGTGATATATCCATACCGATAGTCGACCGTCTCCAGCTACTTGGAATGGACCTGTCATCCAATCTGAACTTCGGCAGATACATTGAATCCATGGCCAAAAACGCAGCCAGGAAACTTGGCATCCTTTTCAGGGTAAGGCGTTACTTCACACCGGGACAGTTGCTTCAGTTGTATCAAGCACAAGTCCGGTCGTGTATGGAGTACTGTTGCCACCTTTGGGATGGCTCTGCTACATATCAACTGGCCACCTTGGATTCAATTGACAAGCGTACCAAGAGGCTTATAGGTGACTCGGAATTAGTAGAGGCGAAGCTGCAGAGCCTTGAACACCGCTGTAAAGTTGCCTGGTTATTGGTATTTTACAGGATATATCACGGAGAGTGTGCGATGGAATTACACGATTTAATTCCGCCTTCCCCTTTCCATCATCGGGGGACTAGGCGTAGGCTTGGCTTCCACCCCTATGTTGTGGATATTCCAGCGAGAGTGAATAGGCATTATCTAGGTGTGCATGATCCATCGTCGACCTCATCGTCACTTTCCATCAGGTGAGATGGAGGTCAAATGCACACTTACATTAGAATTTTAAAAAAATCGTCGGTTAGCAATCAACATCGCTCAGCTCGTTACTCAAGTCCAAATAAAAGTGAATATCAGTAAAAATTATAAAACCAACTCATATACAATTATCTGTCTATAATAGATAATGGAGTATTTATTACCAACAATAGATTAGAAAGTCTTGTATAGGTACTAATATTAGTGCAGTTTTTTCATTCTCCTTCAAAATTACTTCAAATTACAAGAACGGTGATATTTGCTAAGCGTATCTGTGTTATCAATACACTTGTGCCGTCCGTTGTGGCTTATTTGAGGGAAAAGTCTTGGAACTCATTTCGAGTGCATCACTTGAACTAAATTGTTATTCTTGTAAATATTTATATAAATTCGGAACAAATTGTCGTGGGGTAGGGTCAGATCAGGTCAGTACGGAGGGTGGCGAAAATTACAATTACTCCTGAATATGAAGATGTTCGGCAGTATACGCTTTGACGTCATCGTGTAAAAGTAGCGGTGAAAATGGATTAACTCGGCGTGGTTTTCTGGTTTTGTGTCTGGTTTTTAAGTTTTCTTCACAATAGCGATCTGCTCTGATTGGTATTTGTACCGTATATAAAGCAATATTCCACAATAGACTATTTTGCGAATAGATCACCTTAAAGTTTTGGAGTCGTTTAGTGCTATATCGGAATACGTATTATCGTATTTAAAATTACACAAATTTTAACAATATCTATGTTTTAATATTAAAACTAATGCAAAATTAACCAAAACGACACAAATAAATAACGCCAACAATTTAAATTTTGGAGCCTTAAGATTTTATTTGAAAAGTTATGAACGACTAAAAACATTTCATTTTATTTTATTATGGCCCTTAAATTACCGTTAAGACGAAAGTGAGAGCGCGTTTATGCAAGAATTTGCAGACTCAAACGATCACTTTTATGGAATAATCACTTTCTCACTTCATAGAATGATCTATGAAGTGAGAAAGTGATTTTTGGACTTATATCAATGTCGTCAATGTGAAAAGCGATCCCATAGCCATAGCCGCTTTAGTGTTTACAACCCCGTATATGTTCTTGTTTTATGTGTCTAAACTACACCGTAGATTTATCCTAAAGAAACATATATTTTTTTGTTGAACGTCTTGACTTTGGTTCCGTTTATGCAGATCCACTGATGGGCGTCGGTCTTGGTGTGGGCCCGATGGGCGTGGGGGTGGTGCCGCCGGGCGTGGGAATGGCTTTACCGGTGCCTGGTGAGACGAACGTGGGCATGTTTATTGAGGAACACAAGCGGCGAGCTGACAGTGATCCTAACGCACCACCTTTTGACGATCTGCGCAACTACGCTTATGAGGGCGGCGGCAGCACTGCCGGTTCCCTTTCCTCACTCGCTTCAGGTCAGTATAAGCTATGTACGTGCTTTATATGTATCTACGTCTACCTACAATGGCGGATTTGCTCTAAGGCCATCCGGTGGTCAGTTTTAAGGGCGGCCAATCAAGACAAAAAATTCACTGATTATAACAAGAAATAACTCAAAAGACCTAAATATTTTAAAGACTTACGCACATTATGGCGGGCGGCACTGCATCGCATCGTATAACAATATTCTTTCTAAAGAATTCTTATAGTTTATTTGTAAAATATAGATATGTCTACCAGTAAGTATATGAGTGCTGAGAAAGGGGCGGCTGGTACTGATTACATGGCCTGGGGCCTAGGGCGGGCAAGATTGCAAATCCGCCACTGTCTACCTAGAATAGAACACATTTCTCTTAATAGAATATTACAGATTTAAAAACATTTTGGACGAGCCCTAAGAAAGCACAGCTTGTATGAGCCTCCCTACACTAGCGTCTTTTGAGCGCCAGCGTCTTGCCAAGACACAGCGACGACACGATATCCGCGCGATGTATAAGTACCCGACGACCGGCACTATTCCGCAGTCGCCCAATGCTGGCGTTGCGTCGCCGACGCGCGGACCCCGTGCGTGCGTTAGTAAGACGCTGTGCGTGCTTTGGAAAGATGCTAATGCTCGAAAGACACTAGTCTGGTGGTTTTCAGTTTCGTCTCATATAAACAAGTTGATTGATTGAAAGGGGGCACTTTAAAGATACTTTTTTAGCACTTATTACTTTATTTATTAGCATTTTAGTGCTTATGCTAGGTCTCTTTACAAAGAAGATATTAGACTTAGTGGACTTGGTTGACTTATGTATGCTGAAAATTTTCTATATCAATTAAAAAGATTCTTCTTCCCTTTTGACTGCGCTGTCCTGTTTATCTTTGTAGTCAATTCTCATTGCACTGCTACCTACCTTCTGGATTTCTATATCGTCGCCTTAAGAGAGAAATTCTTGCGTACGCATTTTCACATAGTTCGTTTTTACTGATTTTTGTTAAAGAAAAAATTATAAACTTCTTGTTCAAATATATTATTAAAGTAATATAGTATCTGTAAGAGGTACCTGTAATTTAACTAATTAAAATGTTTACTACAAACATTATTGCGTTTGCTACATTTTACACCACATTTTTATCTTCGCCTGAAAAATTACATAGAAATCCCATACGAGGTATTCACTCTAAGACGACGATATACTTATTCGGTTTCTAAGATACTTACGGGAAGATACGAAGCCGGCATGAAAGCATAGGAATTCTGTTACTCATAACCAGAGACATAGACTTACTCTCATTATCGCCCCCCGGTCCCTGCAGTCCAATTCCCGAGGCTAACAGAGCGGTTTCCAACGTGACTCCGCTTTAAAATTTATGAAGGTGCCCCTGGAGCAATTCATTCACAATGCATGAAGCGAAAAATGGAAGCACCTCCAAAGTTTGAGTTAATAAAACATTTACGTGAAATTGTATAAGTAATATAGTGTTTATTCTTGTTAGGTACCGACGAGGAGAACCACGAGTATGAATATCTGAACGCGTGGGGCCCGCGCTTTGGGAAACTAGCGGACATGTACGGGCCGGACATGGACGAGCAACTGTAAGCGCATCCCAGCGCCTGTACGCCTGTGTCCTTTAGTCAATTGTCTCCCACTTCTTGTACACTCTACCACAGCAACCGACCGCCTCGGGAGGTCTTCTATACCCCAGATATTAATTTTGTAAATAACGAAACGTGGCGACCGACCCCTCTACTTTGATGGGTCGCCTCTCCCGCCGACTTGTAACTCTTATCAATTTTATACAGCTTTATTTGTAGCGAACAATGTTTAGCTTAATTAGTCGTTTAAGAAACTCATTTAATTGCGTAATTTTATATAAAAATACGTTCACCAAATATTTGATATAAGTTTTTATTCTAGTTAGCCATATTATGAGTCAGTATTTTATTGGAATTTGAAATAAGCAGATTTTTGCCGAAGAGCCTGGCATGATACTGAATGAAGGGTGTATGTAGATAGTGTGCTATAAATGTGAATAATTTATACGAGTATTTTGTAAGTCGACAGCTTTACGTGATGTCACTGTTTATGGCCCTTCGGCATTAATTCAATGTAATGTAAGTAACGTTATATTTTAAAATAACGGTAAGTTAGTAAGTTCATTCATTGTCCGCTCGGACGTGAAGTCGAGTTTTATAATGCTCATTACGGGACTTGGTGTATTTTCAGGGGAATGTACATACATAAAGCTATAGGACCGTAAACAGACGAATACGTTTAAATTAACGCAGCAATAACGACTAAAGTTGGGAGATTTAAGCGAACTGTATAGTAACCGGTGTTCCTCTTCTAACTCTCCACTGTAGTGCTAGGATTTAGAATTTGTGAAAACGACTATGGTCTACTTATAATAGTAGATAAAATAATAGTCAAGAGCTGTGAGTTATTTGCTGAATGAGTGAGATTGAGCGAGTGCATGTTTATGTGTGCGGGTTTATGAGTGAATGAATGACGAGTGTGAAGATTGGTGAGTGAATGGGAGCGGCGAGTCTCGCCGCCGTCGATATGAATGGGACTGTGCCAATTTATTAGCATTATCGATACAGCTATGACAGTAGACAGTTAAGTGTTTGCACTTTATTTATTCGTATATTTAAAATATTAAATTAGTCGCACCTAGGAAAATATCAGTAACTTATTAAGAGTGTTGTGCTAGATTACTATTTCGATCGGTTTTGACGTGAGATAGTTGGCGGAACCGTTAGAAGTCACTATTTATAAATTAATAATTAAGAATTTATAGTAAAGTAATTTAATAAACTTAAGGTTCTCAAAACTGTCTCACATCGACGTTGAATTATGATCAGTGTACATTTTAGAATTATTGAATTGCGTTAAAATGACTGATTTTATTATGTGTTTGAAAGCCTAAGATTCTTGTAGTTCGATTGTTTAATATAGACTTGTCTACCCTATTGTAAGTTCACCCAATAGTTTGCACTAACAAGATGATATTATTCCCATACATTAAAGCAATTCTCGTTGAATATTATACTTATAAGTAGAAATAAAAATTTAGACCGAGTTATTGAACATCACGATTTCACGATTCTTTTTTAATATCATTACACTGCCAGTAATCGTCTAGATTAAATACTATAATGTTTTTGGTCCGTTTTTATATTTCAGTATTATACAAAGTTATACTATTGTACATTTTGGGACTCTTTTAACACAAGCCGCTTTTTTCTTGATCTATTTTACTTGTACACCAATTTTTATTTTTTTTAAACAAGCTCTGCGTTGTCTTTTATATAAATACCTTTATTCCGTCAATGTATGCCCTTGCCCTTCCTAGGTGTAATTGTAAGCATAGCAAATTGTTTCTAAACGGGCAAGCAACTCAATAAATTATCGTTTATAGAGTGCCAGGTCTGTAATTAAAAGTAGTTGATAAATACAATGTTAAAATAAATGTTTGATGTCTAATTAAATTAAGCATTTTGACGCCCATCAATGCAGCTTGAAGTACTTAAAATTTGCAGGCCACCGTTTTGTGCAACGGCCTGCAAACGATGAAAACACAACATAAAGCGGGGGCATAAAATTGTTAGATGATATCCTGCAGTCTTAACTATTTTTTTCTCTTCTTTTATTTCCGAATACACGAACATTGAACACCGTTTCCATTTGAAAATGCATCGTCACAAAACATTTTTATATCTCGATTACGTTCAAATTTAAATATCGGTGGACGTCTAGTCGTTTAAGATTAGTAAAGAGCACGGCCATAAAGTTAAATGTAACGTTTCAACGTACCTATACATCGTACACTGAACATGGTGAAGTCGTTAATATTTTTGCAAATTAGTAACAGCAATATGTAAATCAAGCCTGTTAACCTGTTAAGGAATACCATTAATGGGTAATTTCCAGGTTACTTTTCTCTACCTAATGTCGGTGGCAATTTTTAATATTTAGGTATTCGAGTATATTATGAAATATTCAATAATATTTATTTAAGTTACTATACTCGAATACTAAATAATACTTCATGATAATATTCTAGAATACTTAAATGACAAAATTACCATACTCTTAAACTTGTCGTCTTTAATCCAATTTCTTTTACGAATTTGTACATATTTTTGTACGAATGTGTACAAATAATTGGAATCAACGAAGTGTGATGTTGTAGGGAGATTTAAAAAGTTTTGTGCCGATGACAATTTAATTGAATGGATCGGTGATCGGAGACGGCAGAGCACACAGCCCCAGTACAAAGTAAGTGCGCGGACGTACCTATACGCGAACAGGCGCTAGTGCACGTCGTTTTATTTAAAATAGACATTAATTAATTGTATTATAACCGACATAGTTATGTTTTGTTTCAACTGTGATTATTTAGTTGTACAACTCCGATGATTACATAAAACAATGAATAAAATGTGAAAAAAATAGTTGTTCGCCTTTTATTTCTACTCTGTAACGACGCAATTTAAGTAACGGAAGCTCCTAACCTAAGTATTTAAGTATTTGGCAGTCAGTTATCGAACAACGCTGAAAACCGAAATAAAGGCCTCGAAGAGATATACTCTCATTGCGTTGCGGAATATTAAAGAGCTAATTTCTGAAGGCGTTCGCTGTGTGAAGCGGCTGTTTTAGGGTATATCCCGGCACGGGTGTCAAATTAAGCTGGGTATTGCCTTTATTTGTTTAAGTAACAAGTCTGTATATTATATATACAGATACAGATAGTGGCAATAGAGCACCTTGCAAAAGAGTTCGTCCAGAGAAGCACTGCCACCAAGTAGTAATGTCAGCATTAAAGTGTTCCGGTTTTCAAGGGTAACGGTGAAATTACAGGCACATGGGACTTGTCAACTTATGTCTGATCTGATCTTTGCGATTTAAAGAGCCGAGTGGCACGGTAACTGTTATTATGGAAAGGCGTGTAGCTTCTTACCACGTCTTCTTCTTGATTTGTTCGTCCCGTCGCTAGGTATTATAATATATATATATATATTAATCACGCTGCACACCCTCTGACAACTCGGAACGCGTAGTCGAAAATTAGTGTGTTCTCATCATAATCTGTACATAATAATATTGGCAAGTTATTGTGTGCGCGTCGACAGCGTGCTGAGACGATACCAGCGGCACCATTCCTGAATAACGAGAACCACAGCACCTAGCTTAGATCTGATTGCAGTAAAAAAAAAGAACCAAACCAAACTTTACCAATTATCTTACGCCTTCTTTAAATTATGAAAAACGTTGGACCGTCAAACGATTATTAAGGTTTCGTAGGCTCAACTTTAAGATACGGAATCATATTTTGGGACAACCCAAAAACGATGTGTCCGAGCTATTTATGAACTAAAATATACAAAAAGCTGTCGTCCTAACTAAATCGTAATTTACGACCTAGGCCACAAATATTGAGCTCTACTTAGAAAAACTGTTATTAAACTTGCAGCGATCACTACAATAAAATTCAAGATCGTATAAAAATCACTTGAGACGCGTAAGTTCCAAAATACACACATCAAAAGTGTCTAGGGATCAAGTACGTTTAAGAGTATTGCTGCAATTAGGGTTAATTATATTAACTTTTTTGTATCGCTATTGATACTTTTTAGTGAGTTTTAACATTTAAATAAGGAATATTGTTTAAAATTCGATAATAAGAAGAAAATCGATTGTCAATGTGGTTTTGTATAAAAATGAGTTATAGCGTTTTGACAAAATCATTACAATATCTGCATCGGAACCGAAACAATTTACATTATTATGGAGAGACGACATCATTTAACCGGAGAAGTGATGATGCGAGCCGTCGGAATGTTGGAAGCTGGTTCCAGGCAACGTGCTGTGGCTTTCACTCTTAACACTACACAGAGCGTCATAAGTCGCCTCTGGACGCGCTATCGCATGACGGGCGGCGTGGCCGAGCGACATGGAGGACGATCTCGCATCACGACTCGCAGACAGGACCGGTATATCCAAAATACTGCTCGACGGAATCGTACCATGACCGCTATGATGTTGGTTACGAGGCTCCACAGCTCCTCAGGCTTGCTAATAAGCGATCAAACAATCCGAAATCGTTTACGTGAAGTGGTTCTGCGATCCCGAAGGCCGCTCAGAGTTCCACCTATTGCACCCTGCAATCGCAGGACCCGTTTACGATGGGCTCGCGAACACAGAAACTGGGAGGAAGAAGACTGGAGCTATATGTGCTTTTCGGATGAATCCCGCTTCGGTATGAGACCGGATACAAGACGTACTCGAGTTTGGAGAACATCTGGACGTCATGAACGTTTGAGATATTGTCAGGAAGTTCATCCATATGGTGGGGGAACAATAATGATATGGGCCGGTATTTGGATCGGCGGAAGAACCGATCTCATTTGGATCAGGGGTAACCTCAATGCTCAAGTTTACGCAGAGAGGATTGTTTCAGATGTTATCATCCCTTTGCGAGGCCAGTCGGGTGATTCATTTCAACTAATGCATGATAACGCACGTCCACACACGGCTAGAGTCGTAACACGCATTCTTGCCGAAGCTCGTATCAACGTTCTGCCGTGGCCTGCTCAATCGCCAGACCTCAATCCAATTGAGCACGCATGGGATATGCTTCAAAGAAGAGCTGTGTCGAGTATGCATACCGTACATACTCTACAACAATAATTTGACTTGTTACAAAACACATGGGCGGCCATTCCTCAAAGTGATTTTGATGAACTCATCTTAAGCATGCCAAATCGCTGTAATTGTGTGATTCGTGTTAATGGTGGAAATACAGATTATTAATTTTCTTGTCTTTACAATAAAAATGAGCAAAATCATCATTTTCGCCATTTTTTTGTCATTTAATTGACGCCGTTAATTTGAGTTTTTTCCCACAATTTGCAAAAACATCAATTTTAGTTTATTTTAATTAAATATAGGAGTAAGCGGTTAAATAAAACATAAGCATTAAAGTAAGAAGTCGTCCTGGAAGACTGGATTTGGTAAATATTGTTTAAATAATTTTTATTTCAAAAATATTCACTTGATCCCTAGACACTTTTGATGTGTGTATGTTGAGATATTTAATTAATAGATAAATGTCAATATGACATCAACAATCTCTTAAACGACAGTATAAACATTACAAATGTAATTAAGTTAAAAATGTAATTGTTCATGCTCCTGTAGGGGTTTCAACCTCTTAATAAAATTGAGAAACAACTGGTCTAGTACTTGATTACGACCGCTCATAAAAAAGTGCATGTACTAATTTGTAAAAATATCTAGGTAATTGTAGAGACGCATATATACGCAATAAAAAAATATAACAATAAAAAATAATTAATAAAAATGAATAGAACACAAATCCACTTAGCGAGATATACAAGTTATCGTGACACTTGTACAGCGGGTTCGTGTTGACAAAATATTCAAACGAAGGTATATAAATAAAATTCGGTTGTCTAGTATAAGAAAAAACAAAAAGAAGACCCTAATCAAGTATTGTAAAGTACATTAATTTCATGGTGACACTTTTAACAGCAATTGCCTTGGTGACATACACCTTCAAATTCAAAACATGAAACTTCATGAATAGTATTTTATGCAATCGTTGCATATAATGGGGTTCTTGAAGTCGAGTACCGTGTTTGGGCTAATAATAGGTACGAGATTTTAAGATCTAATCATATAGTAATGATTGCATGCGATACTTTTTCTACGAGTAAATAAATAATAATGAAACAGAACTAATATTTAATGTGTAATTTTGTTAATAATCCATGACAACAAATGCAATTTTTTTTAATAAGTTTTAACCCAGTTGTGAGGATAGGCAAAGGTTAAGACGAATTAAAATAAAATTGTCGCTGAGTGAGCTATGGAACGGGCTACGCTCGGAGTTTCTCTGAAGGATAAAATCCGTAATGAGGTTATCCGACAGAGAACTAAGGTCACTGACATAGCTCGTGCAATAAGCAAGCTGAAGTGGCAGTGGGCTGGCCATATCTATCGAAGAACCGATAACCAATGGGGAAAACGAGTTCTAGAGTGGAGACCGCGATTCGGCAAACGTAGTGTAGGATGTCCTCCGACCAGGTAGAGTGACGACTTGCGAAAAGTTGCTGGCGGAAAATGGATGCGACAAGCTGAGGACCGGGCGAAATGATGCACATTGAGGGAGGCCTATGTCCAGCAGTAGACTGCGATAAGCTAATGATGATGATGATGACGATTTCTCGATTGCAAGACTTTTAGGTCAATTTAACCACTCAGGAGGCGTTATAGCGTTTGAGTAGCGTCATAATTGATAGTTTAATTAGCAAAAATACGACGTTCTTCTTTTGAAACTCATTATAGTTCTATGTACAGTACTATAATACTCATTATAGTTCTGTGTACAGAACTTCGATTAAATTTTTCAGCAGCACAATCCCTCTTTTAGACAACAATACTGCTTCGAACTAGCATTTCTCGAATTCGTAACTGATAAGGGTCGGACGCTATTCGCAAACACTCTTAAGAACTTTAAATCGTTTATTCGGTGATACCGACGTTTATTATTATTAAGTGGTATAGAATTGAGTTTCAATCTTAAGTGACTGCACTGACTTGGCAGCATTTTATTAAGGCAATAAATTCTCCGTTATGAATAAGTGCTTACCCGTCGCGGTCTAATTAAACTAGAATTTGCAGTGTCTTTGTAAAACTTTCGATTAAACTACAAATTATTAGTATTAATAGTATAGTTAATAGTAGTTAAGTATTTCGGTAATTATTGTAATTTATACGAAGCACACACATTACATGAAAACTCAATTATATAAGAGAGCGTTTTGAATGGTAAGGGCGCTGGTAAAGTTACAGGTACATAGGTCAAGTTATGTCTCAGGATGACGGGCGCCGTCCCAGTGCCCCTCAGATCTTTGTGATTTAAAACTCTGAGTAGCACTGCAACTACTTGGAGAGGCGTGGCGCTTACCACCAGACGCACTACTTCTTTCGTCGCGTCACTTGCTATCATAAAAAAGTTAATGCTTTCAGTCGAAGTGTTTCAAGTTATTTACACCAACGCAAACCACGTGAACGGATTTAATTTTAAAGGAACAATAAAATACGTGAGCCAACAATTTATCCGTGTTGAGGTGTTTATTAATGCAGAAGCCGCAGAACGTGAAAATATTATAGAGATACGCTGTTACTGGCCAATAACAATAATTATTGCTTCGTTATGTGGGTACGTGCTGTTAACGAAGGTCCTGTTTTGCGATAAACAGGTATGTTGGGCCAAGTTAGAAGGTGTTAACTCACTTTCTTTTATATTACCAAGGGACGGGACGGACAAGTCCACACGCCTGTTGATAAAAGTGGCAGTGCCACTCAGAAATCGCAAAGATCGGAGGGG